TGGAGCAGCCTATAAATTACTCTGACTAGTCCTAAACCTCCAATCCACTCGGGACAAAGGAAAGCCATGCTAGGATAAGCTGCACTTCCATTCATCGAAAAAGCTGTCCTAGTTTTGTCTGAACAAAAGCTCCTACACCAGGATGAGAAGCCCCTGCAAGGATTTCATACAGCTCCCACATGGGGAGGTCTGTCCCAGGTACCTTTCAGTCCCAGGCAGAGCTTGATATACACACGTGCCCAGCACATCTCAGCCCACCCATGAGAACCCAGCACTGCAGTCCCTCCAACTAAGTCCCAATGAGGGGCCCAATTCCACCTCCAAAAGCAGTGTCTAAAGAAGACAGTAAGAGTGGGGGTTCTCTCCACACTGCTCACCTGGTCCATGTTCTTCTTCAGCTCTGGGTAGGCATCTCCCTGTGGAGTTAGCCTCATAGTTAGTGATAACAAGATCCACAGCAGCTTCCTCAGGGGATCTCACTGCATGCCACACACGTTAGAGAGGTTTCTCAGGCAAGTGAGAATGCACTCTGAGCATCACTACACAGCTCCAGGGACAGAATTACAGGGGGAAAGAATCACATGTGGAATTACAGCTGCTGTGTCCTTGTGAGCCTCCCTGCTAGYCCCCCTCCAACATCTTTGTAGTAACCACATCAATTTACACAGGGCAAGGAAGCAGTTTCTTTTTGGAGGCTGTTAGTAATCCCAGGGAACAATTTCAGGTAGCTTTAATGAAATCCGACTGTGTGGAAACCACTACCTTTAGGGAAGCAACAACACACACATTTACACACACGCTTGTGCTGAGTGTGTGTCATATCAGGCCCCCTTCCTCCAAATACAAGTGATTCAGATGCGAGCGAGATTTTTACTGTGGGAACACACATTCACACTCTCCTAGAACTCCTTCCCATCCAAGTTTGCCCCGTGACAGTGCACAGGAAAGGCACACGAGCTTGCATACGTCCTCTGCAATACCCTTCCTCCCCAAGGCAGCAGTTGTTACTCACCAGTACATCCACTACAGCAGGCACGAGGGAGGCCAGGAGCCCGGGAGGGGCACGAAGGACTTCAGAGCAAAAGCGGACAGCCCTGCGCAGGATCCGCCGCAGCACCAGCCTGAAAGCAGGGCAGGATTCCCCAGAGAGCCATGCGAGCACCCGAGCCCCACTCCCACATCCAGTACAGCCCACATGCAGCTCCTCTCAGGCCTCATCTATCCCTACAGGCCAGCTTCACATTCTAGGCTTCACATCCATTTGGGGATGATCATGCTGATCCTGAATGTCCAGGCGCTCTCCTTCCCGTCTCTACACAGCTCGCCYACTCCCTGTCCTTGACCCCTCCTGTCACACTCCCTTTCCTTTGTGGCCCGGACTCGAGGCTCCCGGCGCCACTCCCGCGCGTCCTTACTCTGCTCCGGAGAGGCCGGGGTAGATGCCGTCGGCGATGCACACGCACAGGGTGCGCGCGTGGTCGGCCACCACGCGGTACGCCATGTCCACGCCGCCCGCGTCTGCCTTCCCCACCCGGCCCCGGTATCCGGGCGCCCCGCAGCCCTGGAAGGGAAGACACGGACACGTCAGCCGTGGTGACCGCTGCRGAAGAGAGCGGTGCAAGACAGGCAGCTACGTGCGGTACTTGGCACTTGTCTCTACTGCCTCTGAACCTACACGGTTAGATGTGACCGAAACATTTTTTGAGACTGAGACTGGTGTGCCTAAGAGAAGTCAATGAAAGCCCCAGCCCTGGGCTATTTAACAGCCCTGGGAGAAACAGTTACCCTATTGGATTCCCAATCCTGAATCTGCCCCCACTTCTCTAGAATGCTGCTGTGGGCCTGGCTGGACATGCTTGTTGTCTTAAAATTCTGTACAGTAATGTGTGTAGAGAAGGCTGGATTATGGTACCAGTCAAGCAGCCTGAACTCATGGGGCTTTGGTTTAGCTGTGACTCTGAGCAGGAGCACTGTCACCTTGTGAATGGCATCCAGGATGGGAGTGAAGAGATCTGTGTCATAGTTGGAGCGCTTGTTCTGCAGAACTGCCACCAGCCTTTCCAAGCCCATTCCTGTATCCACATGGTGCTGGGGCAAGGGAAGTAAATTCCCTTCCACCTCTCTGTTAGCATGTCAGGGAAAAAAATAAAAGGCAAACAAGAAGCAGAGGTCAGTCCAGGACCAAAGAACAGGAGTGGGTGAGTGATAGAGGATGGGAGAGTGACAGGGGGTGGAAATAATGCTGGGGGCAGGTGACCCAAGAGAAAGAATCTCAGTGACAGGAATAACAGTAGCCTGGGGTGGCACTGCTAGGTAGCCAGGCCCTGACCATCAGACAGTCAGGAAATACTGCAATGTATGGAAAAAGACTTGCTCTGAACAAGGGCCTCAGTCCTTCTCTTCCTCCTAGAGGTTTTTCTGTGCTGCTGCAGATGTTGCAGACCCAAGGGCACATTTGGGATGCCACAGGGAAGGAAAAGAAGCAGCTGAGATTGAAGGAGGACAGGAGAAACATGGCAAAGGGGGCCTATGGGCCACAGGGAACACATCTCTGCTGCTTCCCCTTTCACCTGTACTGCCACYTCCTGGAACAGTGAGATTTTGGAGAAAACGAGGTTTGATGTCAGAAGAGGGAATGGCTCTGGGGCTTGGACGGGGTGCCCCGTACCTGTTATACTGCATGAAGACCAGGTTCCAGATCTCTACTACATCGGGGCTGCYCTGGTTCACCAGCGCGGCTGCGTTCCTGCCACCACCCACGTGATCATAGTGGATCTCGGTGCAGGGACCACAGGGACCTGTGTCCCCCATCTCCCAGAAGTTGTCCTTCATTGGGAAAGGAAGCACACGGCTGGCAGGCACCCTGGAAAGGCAAACAACAGGGATGGCAGGATTGGGCCATGCACACAAAATACATTACCCTAGATTACAGAGAAAGTTGGAGACAGGATCCTTTCCAACACATCAGGATTTATTGGCTTTTGTTCCCAAGGAGCCCKTTAGCAGGGCTAAGCTGAACAAACCAGGCAGACCCTGCTCACTGCTCAGCATGGCTGGCAAGCTCAGTCCAGCTCCTGCTGGTGGATGACCCACTCTCTGCTGGGTACATGGAGCCAATTTCCTCCCTGGAGGTTATTCCAGCAGACCTGGACACCCAGCATGGCACAGAACTAATGGCTTTTGGCCTGAAGTTCACATACAGCCTAGAACAAGCTCCCAAAGTACATCCATGCTTTCTGCAGGGGCACAAGGACACAAAGAAAAGGAGGACAGTGGGAGAAGCATCACTGCACACGGAACAGAGGTCAGCATCTCGCTTCACCCAGGTGAGGCAGCTCTGGGCACAGAGGCCCTTGGGCTGACGGCATCTCAACAACAGCTTAAAGACAAGGAGCACCAGAGTCTCAGAGTCCAGCTGACTTGCAGCCCAAACAAAGAAGGCACCAAAGGAGTTTAAACATCAGTTTTTGGTGTCTATACCTGACCTGAAGAGCGACCGAAGCGTCGCTACCTACTGCTCTAGCGCGACTTACCCCAGGCGGAGCCATATGTCCCTGCACTCCTCATCGGCGCTCAGCCCCAGCGAGGGGTCTCCGCCAAAGTAAGTGACGTACAGACGGTCCCTGGGGATCTCGTAGACCTCTGTCAAGAGCTCCCAGGCCATGCTGCATGCTTCCTCCTGAGCAGACAGGGAGCAAGGAGGAAGCACCGCAACCCAGGGCAGGAAAGGAGGCACAAAGGTTCTTTACAATCGACTCAAACACCAGAGAACCCAGTTTTGGTTTTTCTGTCCCTTTGCAATTTTAAGGCATATGCCAGAGAGTATGAAGGGGGTCAGGCCCATCAGACAGTTGTTCCAACAGCTGTGGAAACCTGTGACCTTCCTAAATCCTTGGGAAACCTTCAGACCCACAGCATGGGCTACACCCACCCCTTTACTCACAGAACTTGTGAAACGGTCCTCCCYGTTCCCTCTCATCCCTGTGAGATGGTCAATGCTGGTGCTTACACAGGGAGCTCAGTCTCTGTGTGAGCGGCAGCTTTGGAAAGTTTGAGCACTTTGCGGGAAATAAGCCCTCCGCAGGGCACATTTAGTGGTTCAGCACAGCAAGTCACTGCCTCTGCTTCCCACAAGGAATTCGGGGCTCCCCACAGCCTGGCRCAGACACCCCCGCAGGGGCAACAGCCCAGGGACGGTGCCGAAAGGAGAAGCCTGGAGACGGCTCCTGCCGCCTCACCTTGAAGTAGTCTCCGAAGGACCAGTTTCCCAGCATCTCGAAGAAGGTGTGATGGGAGGTGTCGCGGCCCACGTCCTCCAGGTCGTTGTGCTTCCCGCCGGCCCGCACGCACTTCTGGCAGTTGACGACGCGCCGCTGCCGCGCCAGCTCGCTCCGCGGGTGCGCCGTGCCCAGGAAGACGGGCTTGAACTGCAAGGCAAGGCACGGAGAGGGCCCGCGCGGCGCTCGGGGGCGGCTCGCGGCGCGGGGGCGGCTCGCGGCGCGCGGGGGCGGCTCGCACCTG